AAAATTTTGTGAAAATTCGACAAATGAGCAGCTTCTTGGGAAGAAAAGAACGTCTGCACAAAAAAAAGGCGACCGCTTTGGGTCCATCGTACCCCCTGGAGGTAATTAATTCAGTCTTATCCAGCAAATATAATACGTCCCTTCTCATCCGGCTGAAGGCTGAATATAGATAATGTTCCAATGCCTCATCATATATGCCCTGCATTCTGCCGAATGCATTTTTCCCCCATTTCCTGAAGGTGGAATTTTACATACATAACTATAGTTACCCTGTGATGACCACTAGTGTTGCTAAGCCTCCTTTGACCTAATAGTAAGAGCTATTTGGTCTGTTCCTCATCAACACTACCCTTTTTGTGGCCTGTGTCACTTGTGTTCCAAGACCTGAGGCAATGGTAATCAACAATCCACAGCTCTGAGAGTATCACAACCAAACCACTCAATTGAAAAACTTCCAACCAGCAGTCACAAATATTATCACAGTGTAAATAAAATTAGATATTCAGTGAATGGGTCAACTGGACCAGAAGAAGTGCATATTAATGCAAGGACCTGTTCAGCAGCTTCCTCACATAGGGGGTGTTGCAAAGGAAATTGCATTTGTTTATGGCGTTAAGTGGTTGCTGAGAGTTAAACACATTAAGAAGTGCAGTAATAAATTAATAGCGCAGTCATAACAAACTAATGGAAAAAATACTAGCTGACATAGTAAGTAGTGCCAGTAGCAACAACAGTCGTAAGCATGCTAATAAAAGTTGTGGCAAAATAGCAGTAGTTGCAGTACTTTCGAAACTTTTCAATTATTTACTGCAAGTCATTGAAGCGGGTGGCATTAGTTCGTTGCAACTGAAGCATGTACATATGTATATACGTTTCAGCTTTTTCGTACGTCACACATAGGTAGCATTGTTTACTTGTGTATGTATATTTTTATAGCAGCGCTGAGTTCAACTTCCACGTTCACTGGCAAGCAATATGATTTTGTTTGTCTGCTTCAAAATCAGTTTAGCTGCACAGCTACTATGGCTATGTAACACGCTGTCAGCCAAAGCCCGAAGTTAAACTAAAGCGTCTGCCACCACTGATTCACTCACTCCGCACACAGCCGATTTTCCTAACGTCTGCTGCCTTGCCTTCGGTTGCAAACCATTGGGGATTTTTTAGGATTTGGATTTCAGTAAACTCATTAGGATTTTATTTGTTTGTTTGCACTGCATAAAAGTATTTACTCATATTCAACATTGAAAGCTAACGGCAAGCTATAGAGGCTGTGAAGCAGCCCGCATGCCTATACGACGGAAGAACCATAGCTACTGGAAATGTATTTTTATATACTTATAGATATTTAGTATATACAGGAGTGTATGTGTAAATATGTACTTGTTACTGCATATTTCATTGCTATTTGTACGCAAGCACAAATATGTACACAAAAAAATGTGCGAAAATGGTTTAATTGCACTTCATACGCATTCATTAAATTTTAGAGCAAACAAAATTGCAGTTGAAATTAAATCAGTTACTATTCGAGTAGTAATTTAAATGAGTAATACATTTAAAACTAGTTGAAGCTGCTTGCCAGCAAAATTGCTAAGCCGGTCCATTGTTTTTATGCATTTGAACATATGTACATATGTATGTATATATAAATATCGAACTGTGAAACAATTATAATAAAAATAATTTCTTTATAATATAATATATAATATTTATGAATTTAAAAAGTTCTAAAAACAATATATGATAAATATGACAAATGCCCTAGTACTATCGATAATCGATAACAGTTATGAGAGGCTAAAATGGCGTTCACATGGTCGTTTAGTGAAATGATTTTGTACAAAATATAAAAATATGTTTAAGTAAAGTCCATGATTCCAATTTTGAAAATAAAATCAAAAGCAAATATTCTACTAATGAAAAGTATGGAATTTTTGTTTACAATTAAAATTTACTGAAAGTCGAAATGAGAGAAATGTGCTTATGTGCTTAAATGTACATTTCAGAAGTATTTGGTCTTTTGTCGAATAAATTTGCAATGAAACAATGTTGAAAAACAAGCGAATTACCTATTATGTACTATATGCACACACGTTTGGGTATTTATAGAAAAAACGTGTGAAATATGTGTATATCTATATAACATGAATTAGTTGCTGAAAAGATAGGTATGTATTTGTGTAACAATTACCGGTACATAGTAGTTGCGGTTTTCCTTACTGCCTGCTGCTGCACACGTTTGCAATTTTATCCAAAAAAATTTATTCTTTGTTTGTTTCACAGTAGCAAATATGACTTCGTCGGATACCCTACGCAGTAATTTTATTTTTTTGCTGCTGTTGATGTGGAAATTTTTAATTGCTGTCCTTGTTGAATTATGAATTTCGCAATTTTTATTTACTTGTTGAATTTTATGGCTTTTTGGGATACAATTTATATAACTTTTTTATTGTTGCTTGCATTATTAACACGCTGACTGTATATTTATTTTTACAAGCAAATTACAGTGCTGAATTCAACACACTACTCTGTGCGTGTGGATATATTTTTTTTATTTCTTTTTAATATAGGAAAAGTGCGAATGAACTTTTTGAAGAAATTAGTTTAATTAATTTCACTATTTTTAGTTTTTCTTTTATTATTTTCTGTAACAAGTACGCACAGAATACTTGCACACTATTTAAAACTACTAACAAAAAAATATTATTATTCCAAATAGATTTTTCTGACCGAGTTCATAAACCTAATATTAAATTTCTTACTAATTTGAAACGCTTTTATTTCTTATCATCTGGGTTGGCTTCTGTAGAAACCAGCTCACTGTCAATGCTAACTGATTTACCTTGGTAGCGTATATCGACAAAAAACACTGCCAACAAAAGACTAAAGCGAAAAAACAAAATAAAAGGAAGTATGCTATGTCTTGAAAGTTCAAAACACCTACACTGACTATGGGTTTGAATTACCGCTAACAAATACTAAAAGAAAAAACGTTTAATAAAAAAAAATCAAAAATACCTTGGCATAAAGACAGAAAAATTCTTCAATGAACAAAGCACAAAAATTAGATCAAGAGTAATGAGGGGAGAAAAAGAAATTTAATAAAATAAGTTTATCGATGTAAACTCACTCATCAACTGAATAAAAATTTTGTAAAATTATTTTATAAGGTAAGTTCTTATATTTTATCGAAATTTAGCGACACTTTTGTATATATATGTACGTATGTAAGTAAGCAAAAACACGACTTAGCAAAAACACGTGCGTGATATCGATTTCCGATAGTATTTGTACACATTATTTGTTGTCAACACCAAACAGCGATGTTGGAAACAAAAGATTCGAGTAAAACTTAGTATAAAATAAAGGCAGCTTTTAGATGAACGTTAATAATAAATTATATTTAAACCTAAATTATGATAAAATACATTTCTAATTTGAAAATTTCAACAATTTGCTCGAACAAAACCTACGAATAACATTTCTGGAAATATCACTACCGGAAGTTGACAGGAATTCAAAGAATTTTATCTACCAAATAACATGGTATACAACTATGTGAGCAGTTATGGAAATCAAGGGAAATGCGGTCAAAACATGCCAACTGCCAGTTGAATTGGATAATAGACAACAGTGGGACGCCCAAGGAATAAATATAAAAGCAAAAATATGTAATATTTAGAATAGTGGACCAATGGGCGAAAAAGACGACAGTGGCACAGAGAGTAGAGTACGAACGGCAAAAGCAGCTGAAACGCTAGTTGCACTCTAAAAAAGCTACTACGTGCATATACAACAGGAATGGCGTACCAAAAACCAAAGCAACACCAGTCGCTACCAGGCAGTTATGTGGCATTTCACGTACATATATTCGTTATTGTTGTAAGATTTTATGTAGCATTTCATGCACACCAAAGTATAGCATATCTTAGCATACTTTTTGGCTGCAATGCGCACGAAGGCACAACAAATTCGTATAAAAATAAAATTAAACTAAAAATTTTAGTGAAGCAGGGGAATAAGTAAAATTAGTTGTGAATTGTTTGGCAATGACACAGACGATTGGGCAGCTAGATGTAAGTTAAACAACATTGGACATAGTACAAGAAAACCACAAACCAAGCATAGCAACAAAATGGTCAATCAATTTTTAAGGCAGATTTATATCAAGGAATTTTACTAAAGTTATGTTTTATTTATAATTTTATATGTGATAAAAAAATTTCAAATTAATTAAAAGAAAAATTAAATCAAAATTATTATAAATCACCAGTAACAAGCAGAGACATTCAGTACATAATTGTATACCCACCCATATTAATTTTTTATACTTAACCGATTCAACCAAAATATTGGAAAAAATCTGTGTGCATTCCACAGCAGTTACTTTGGCAAAATTTCAAGAGCAATTTATGTATATGACTACACAAAAATCAATACATAAGAATAAATATGAATATATACTATAAGAAAATAATAAACTCAAGTGCCAACAAAACAAAAAGACCATAAATGCATAAAAACAACAATGCAGCATAGAAATACAGCGGACGAACCGTTGGCAGGAGGTGCACGTGGCTGTTTATAAAAAATAAGACGCAAGGGTGGTATTGTAAAAAAGGAAATATGTGCCTACTTGTGTGTTTACAACCTAATATAAGTAAAATTAAATTTTTTGCATCGATTATCTGTTCGAGTGTCCTTTGCTGTTGACTACTGCAAAAAAAATGCAAGTTGATTTTTAAGGAAGTATAATGTACATATGCCCCTAGAATTACGCAGTATTCTCTGTAGAAACTTTTCAATACTAGTTTCCGAGACTATTTAAAATTAAACATTTGAAATTAGAAACTGAGACTTCAAAAGGTGCATTACATATCAAATTTGGTATCCTATTACATGTAATGATATTAATTGTTTTCTACATTATTGTGGAGTTACTAATTTCGTAAATTTTATATGTAAATAAGTTAAATAATAAATAGTATGTTCATAAATACCTCGGTCTATAACCATTGAATCCGTATGGCGCATGGCCACCATTATTCATATTCCCAAACATTAGTTATTAAAAAACTGTTTCAGCGCTGCTAATGAAATCCAGCAAAATTAAGTCTTCAAAACAAAACTGAAAAAAAAACGCAAAAGTAAGTATGAGCAATTCAAAAACGGCGCAATATGTTTCTGATGTCTTAAAGTGAATAATAAAATATATTATATATACATATGTATGAAAATACTCAGATGCAATTTAACGTTGTGGCATGATTAAGGAAAATTAATTTATTTGCAAACTAAATTACAATAAAAATCATATTTAGTCTATTATCTTTTTTCTAATACTGATAAATAAATGACACTTGCAAAATGGAGGGTCATTCAACTTGTTATCGTAAATTTTTGCAAGTTTCTATTATACTACAAGAGCACTTTCTACGCCCACTCTCTAGGTTTGGCAAACTCTCTATTTATAGTTGCACAAACGCATTTTTGGCTAATTAATTTATAAATATTATTATACATTTTGTACACACACAGCCAGACTGGCAATGCCAAGGTGCATATTTTTGAAAGCGCAAAGAACTTCTTCATTCAAAACTCAATAAACGAACTACTTTTCGCTCTTTTAACTCGTTGGATTAGCTTCGCTGCCACGATGCTTGACTGCAGAAATATGCGTTAGCAGCACACACGAAGCAGCGCTGCTATACTAAAATCTCGTATATAAATACAAATTTTAAATTGCTGCTAATATAAATAAATATCGAATGTATTATTATTATTCCGCTATAAACACAACACCTTAAAAAAAAATACACAGATGGAATTGCAAATTATATATGTATTATTAAAAACTATGACAACCCGGTCCCTGACACACTAGCGCAGTTGCTGCTCGCGTTCGCCGCATACATTTCGGCCGCCATGCGACTATACCACACCATACAATCAGCGCCATTTTATTTTGGCACAAAAAACCTTAGCAAGTTAATTAATTGAACAAATGTTGTGCTAAACGTTACATATTGTAGATTGTTTAATATAACAAAAAGTTTTACTACAATTAAGAATATATAAACCTTGTGGTTTTTACACACTAGAAATTTTTGAAGAAATATAAGAATATTTACTTTTACACACGGTCGCAGCACGTAAAGAACACTTCTTTTACAACACACACTTCAGTGTACTTTTATAAGTTTTTATTTAGCAACTGTGTTCACGCACTACCGTTTTACAACTCTAGACACTATTCTATGTAATTTTTGAGATTTTTTTTGCACTTTTCTACCAGTTTTCTAGGTTGCTGTTTCACTAAAATGGAGAAAATTTCGCGCGTTAAATGTACGAAATTTTTCTCACAGCCGTCAAAGTGGAACTGACGCAGTCAACTGCGAAAATGTTGCTCGAAAAATTTCCGTACGCTTGAAAGCGTATGGGCGAAAGCAAGATGAATATATTGACTGAAGTTTTGGATAAACTCGTTGACAGTTGGTAGCGCAGTGTTGCCAGAAAACAAAAAGATTGAACGAATGATTGATGACTGCCACCATTTAGCTGCTTGGATATAAATGATATGAATGCTTAAGCATTAAATTAAATTATTTAATATAAACTTAATTTAGGTTTTTATTTAGTATTAATTAAATTATATTAAAATATTAACAAGTTAATAATAATTATTAATTTATGGTGATAATTAATGCTATAGAAAAAATTTTAAGGATGGTAATTAAATATGTCGAAATAATTATAAACTATCAATTAATATCTAGACATTTTGAGAAACAAGTTTTAATTAAAATATTCTGAAATTTAATACAAAAAGTTCCATTTTAATCAAAAAGAGTAACAAATATTAAAAAAAAAAGATTTTAAAACTTACGACATAAGCTGTTTTGTCTGTTCGCTGCAGATTCACACATCTCAAATTTTGTCAATAGAGGTAGTCACGCAATGCTATGTCATCAGTCAATGTTTGCCTTATAAACAAATAAAATTGGTTTATTATATTTATATACATATGTAAATATGTATGTATGAAAGTTGCTAAATGTTTTAGTTTTACCGCTCCAACTGTAGTTCCTTTGCTCCTTGCTCTAATAATATAAAAGTTTCCTCTATTTATTCACATTTGTTTGTTCTTGTAAATATGTCTGTATTTAGTGCTCAGATCTAATTTGCTTCTCCAAAACATGTTAAGAGCACAAGAATCTCAGATCTGTACTCTCACCTGCATATTCGAATAAAACCTTATCTTAAAGCGATTACAAAAAAAACACTATTCAACAAATTTGCAATTGTCATTGAAATCTCAGCTTAATGGCTTTTCAAACTGTTCAAAAGTGGTCTCTGTACCTGTATCGAGTGCACATACATTTGGGAATATTTTCCGAAAATTTAAGTTGAAACGGCAAACAGTTTCGAAAATGTAAGAGGTATTTATAAAAAATGTCTAACATAGTGTACTCGACTCCCAAAAGTTCAAACGCGTTTTTTACTTTGACATTATCATTAGCATTCAATTGGTCATACAGATCGAGGTTGCTTGCTGTTTGTGAGCTCTAATGAAGCTACAAGTTTGTCGCTTTTTGTCTAGCTGATCTTCTCCAATGTAGACAAGTGTAACCAGAGCAATAATAAACAGAGTCCCACTGCTTGTAAACGTGTTTATTTATATGCACCACGTACATACATACATACATATATGCATATCTGATCGAGTTTTCTGTAGGAAGTAAGTGCGCTAGGGGAACCTTTATTTAGTTGAGCGCATATTTTCGAACGAATCGGTTGAGTTGTGGATTTGAAATAGTTGTACCTGACTTAAAATTAGAACTGGTTGAAATAGTGCTGATATATATATACGCCATATATGTATGTAAATATATTACGTTAAAAGACAATAACATAAAACATAAACATAACATAAAAGACATAAAAATCATTTTACGACACAATGTTCATCGAATTGTTGCTGCTACTATTTGCTCTGCTCGTACTCGGCGATTATTTACTGAAGAAACGCCGCAGTGATATGATACACTATATGCCAGGACCCAAGCCGTTGCCAGTGTTGGGTAATGTGCTCATGTATCGTGGTATAAGCCAAGCAGGTGAGTGGCACTTAATCTTTGTGTACTTTAGCGAAGTTATCAGCGCGAAATTTAGGTCTGTAAAATGTCTGCACATGCACTTCGAGGCCTTCTGGCGGCCGCTTGTGTAACAAGTGTTACATTGCGTTTTCGGTTTCCAAATAACACTGTTTTATTTGCTTTTCCTTAAAGCGTTATTTCACTTGAAAGTCTGAGCTTGAACGTCAGCGGAAGTTAATGTACTTTCTTGTTTATACCAAAAAAAAAAACAGTTAATCGTTTTTCATTCAGCCTTTTCTATTTTTTCCAGATATTATAGATTTCATTATCCAAAATCGCCAGAAATATGGAACATGCTATCGCGTATGGTTGCTGAATCAATTGGCGGTATTATTCTCAGATCCTGCCGACGTTGAGGTGTTACTCACCAGTTCGAAATATATTAAGAAGAATAACTTCTATGATCTATTACATCCATGGCTCGGCACCGGTTTGCTCGTAAGCAACGGCCGTAAATGGCATGCGCGCCGTAAGATCATAACACCAACATTTCACTTTAAAATACTCGAGCAATTTGTGGAAATATTCGATCAACAAAGTACAGTGCTGGTGAAAAAAATGGCACAATATGCTGATGGAAAAACGGTACTGAACATAGCACCGCTATTATGTTTGATGACATTGGATATAATTGCAGGTAATTGGTGGCCTCAAGCTCCTAGTTAATCGAATGATTAAACCGTTATTAATTTTCAAGTGCTTTACATTTTTGTTTTTGTACATAGAGACGGCAATGGGTACTAAGGTAAATGCACAAACGAATCCTGAATTTCCCTACGTATCGGCTGTTATAAGGTAATTAACTGTCGGTCATGCAAATTTCGAATTTTCCGATAACTATAGCAAATTTATGTGTATAACACATAGCGTTACATATATGTTCGCCAGGCGCTTCACAAACGCTTGGCAGCGTATTGATTGGATTTTCCGATTGCTCTCACGCAAAGAAGCCAAATTATTCTACGCCAACATTAAACTGATGCACGATTTCACTGAACGCATTATTGTGGAACGTCGCTCGGCGCTGGAAAAAGAGCTCAGCATTAGCGAAACCGCGCCAAACGCCATCGCCACCGAACTGGGCTTGAAACGACGTATGGCGCTGCTCGATGTATTGCTGCAGTCTAACATTGACGGCAAACCGCTGAGTAATAAAGATATACGCGAAGAGGTGGACACATTCATGTTCGAGGGGCACGACACCACCTCCAGCGCGCTCACATTCTGTTTGCACTTGATCTCCAGACATCCGCTTGTACAGGCGAAATTATTTGAGGAGATACGTAAAGTGCTGGGCGCTGACAAAGATCGTCCAGTGACACAACGCGATCTCGGTGAACTGAAGTACATGGAGTGTGTAATCAAGGAGTCCCTGCGCTTATATCCAACGGTACCGCTAATTGGACGCAACTTCGAGGAGGATGTTGTTATACGTAAGCACATACGCACCAAATTGAAACGTAATTACATAGACTTTTATTTATTACGCAGGTGGCAAACCGATACCCGCCGGCACAAATGTCACCATCGGCATTTATATTATGCAGCGTGATCCGAAATACTTTCCCGAACCCGATACATTTCGACCGGAACGTTTCCTTAACGAATCCCTTGAAGAGGGCGAGACGAGAAATACGTACGTTTATGTGCCCTTCAGTGCTGGACCACGCAACTGTATTGGTCAGAAATTTGCCATGTTGGAAATGAAGAGCACTTTAAGTAAAATATTACGGCACTTTGAGTTGCTGCCGCTGGGCCAAGAATTGCGGCCAACATTGACTATAGTATTACGCTCCGAGAATGGCAGTCAAATGGGCTTAAAGCCGCGAAATTATGCTTCAACGAGCAGTTAAGTAGTGGATTAAGTTTCGGTGGTTATGAAAATTGGGGAAATGAAAGGTTCTTTCGAAAAAACAAATATTGGTTGGACGTAATAGTGAGTAGCTTGCCTTCAAACGGATGTTCTTTGATTACCCAGAGGATACTTGGTCTAGCACCGGAAGTCGTGAGCTGCTTGAGCTTCTGACTCCAAGTCTGCTCTTAAATTGGCTATAATCACGTAAAAGTAAAGAGAAGAAGAACTAAATAAATCCAATATTTTTGCATTGAATTGAAAGGTCTTAATTACAATAGAGTTATTCGAATTAGGTGAAATAATATTCTTCATAAGAAAAGATCGTTTTTGTTCCGATTCGCAGATAGAAATTTCTTCCTTTAAAGTTTTAATACCGAGTTTTATTATATGCAGCCTTATTGAAATGGTGCCAAACAGGTTTTGTGCCATGTTTAGCTCCCGAGCAATCGAAGCATATTTTATCCTTTTCTTAACAAAAATTTTTTTAGAAATTATTGAAATTATGTTTTTGACTAAAGCAACTGCAGACTCCGTTAAAAGTAATCAAATTTGTATTTCAAATATCACTTCCTCTCACCAATAGCACCACAAATATTTACTCACCAACAGTTTGACCACCACTGTGTTTGTTTACTTCTTCCGAGTCAAAGCATTTCGTCTTTCTGTGATGTCATGCGATAAACGTCAACTCTCTAATGCAAATACTCAAATAGTTTTCACACTCTCGCACTAAATACAGTGGAAAAGCAAATCTTTATAGCATTTTAGTTGTGATGTTGCTCTTTGTCCGACTGCCGCACATTTCGCTTGTGGAAAATTATTAGAACAACAAAAAAGTGCGTATAAAAAACTAAACGTTTACATTTGTATAAAGCGCAAGGTGCAATCTCGCGTCAATAATATTATTGTATGAATTAACCAGCTTCTGCTTGCGCGATTAACGCAAATACTTGTAAAGTGATTGAATTATAGAAGTTCTGACTGGCAGCTATCATGTAATTGGCGTAATTGCAATTGTAGTGATTCACAGCCGACATTAGTTTGTTTATATTGTGTGTTTTGTTGTTGGCATTAACAGCAAATGCATGTGTGTGTGTGCGTAAAATAGAAAGCATAAACTGTATCATGTTCACCTTAATAACCGAGATAATGTGTTTGTAGGGCGCGCATAGCAGCAAAGCACTTAAGCGAGGATAAAATGTGTGAAAGTAAACGGCAAACTCATTTATGATAAGTTAAAAGACAATACAACAAATAGTAATAATTTTTTTTAAATAAATAATATGTGTATGTAAACAATTATGAAGGCAGGTACATAAACATACATACATACATACATGCAAGTTTTTATAGCTATAGCTATATATAAACCACAACTATTCAATATTCTTAGAGACATTGAACGCTCCAAAATTTGTATCTGATATTGCAGTGCGCGATAACAAGCCACTGGCAACGGACGTTTAAAACTAATTCGTTAAATAGTTATTTCTACAATTAGAATTATGTGATTAAATTAGCAACTTAATTTAGCATATATTATTTGGTGTAATAAAAGAAAGAAATGTAATTTCAAATTCGTTAATGAGATTTGCTTTATGATTGAATTTCACAACATCAGCTGTTTCGTTACCCAGTGTGCTCATTGTTTACAAAGTAATGCATTGAAGTGATATTCTAAATAAAATAATGTATTAAAATTAATATTAATAATTGACTCCAATCGATTTAACTTGAAGACATACTATAAAGTGACAAAAACGATTCTAATTGTATTAAAAACACATCGTGGCTAAACCCACCGTCACCGCCTCACATAAAAAATAATTATTATTATGCTTATGTATATTTGTATGTATGTATGTATATATGTACGTATGAGTTTTCGTATTTTATTTATATACAAATATATGTGCATGTGTAATTTTGAAGCAAAAAAAAAAAAAAAAACCACGTACATAGTTGGGTGAAAACAATGCTGGATGGCAGTGAGCCGCGGGCTAGCAAATGTGCTGCACGCTGTTTGAGAGGCGTTGGCAGCGTTCAAAAACATAAAAAATTATAATTATTTATACTATGTATAAGGATGCCGTTTCACCACTACTCAAATGGGGTCTTTGTTTCAACTCCTTCAAACACGCCATTTGAGTAGTGGCCGAATAGCGTTCTTTGATAAAGTAATTGGAAATGTTTTTGTGTAAATTTATTATAAGTCAAACGAACTTTATTTTCTAAAATGAAGCATTATTTGTGCCCAACAGTTGGTGTGTGTACGATTATTAGAAAAATAAAGAATAATTGAGTGACTAAGTATATTTTTATGTACATATATGTATGTCTTGTAATGCGCAACTATATGCATGTAAATGAGATCATTGCAGTGATTTTTTAACGAAAATACTCATGAGTGTAAACGAATGTTAAGAACAGAAATGCAGCACGAGTACATATATTTCTTATATGAACAGTGCATAACAGATAAGGAAATGAGGCGCGCAGAAATGAAGTAGCGGTTCTTCCTGTCAAATGGCAGCGTGCGCACGCATTCGCTGGTGGACTTCCGTTATCACTGTTAGAAGCTTTGAAATTGTGAAGAATATTTTAATTATACATTTAATTAATTAAGTGTGGCTAAAAATAGGTCGCGGAGTGGCAATAAAAATATTATTCCTGAAATTGTTATATATTTATATTCATATTTAAACGCTCAATTGATTAGCTGGCACCATAAAATAATTTTTAAAGTTCATAAATTGTACCGCATAAGCAGCTGTGTCAACTTTGGATTATAGTTTTTAATTTGCTATATATATTTAACTCAAGTACAAGTAATAAATTTGTTATACACATACACTCAAATAAATGTAAATAACAGATAAGAGTGCTGTTCGTAGTTATGGCGTGCACTAGTGCCACCAAGAACAAGAAAAAATGTAAACTTCGGCTGCACCGAAGCTATAACACCCTACACAGATTGCATTTCCTATGGCATAAAATATTTCAACTTGATTTTGATCGTTCAGTTTGTATGGCAGCTATATGCTATAGTAGTTCGATCTGAATAATATGTTTCGAGATTGAAGCCTTTTTTTAGGTAATAATCTGTGCTAAATTTTGTGAAGAAACATATACATATATATTTTAAGATAAAAAAGTTTTCCATATAAGTACTCGATTTGGATGGGTCAATTTCTATGAAGCTACACCCTATAGTGGTCCGATAACAGCGGTCACAACAAATCACCAGCTTCTTGGGGAGAAAAAGACGCACGCAAAATTTCAAATAAATATCTCAAAAGCTGAGGGACTAGTTCGCGTATATGTGTGCAAACTTAATACATCCCGTTTAGGGTATAAAAAAGTAGTGTTGCAGTGCCATAAAGATATTGTTTAAATATAACTACTTTACTTTAATTGCAGCGCTGATTAGCATTTTAGTTTGCAGTAAAACTTTATTGATGTAATTCAATATTTAAAATACGTATTTAAAGACATTAGACAGCAGTCCATGAAGCACAACGAAACGTGACAGTCGCAGTTAAAGCATAAAATTTAAATTTAAAAAAATTCAGCAAAGCGTCTTCGAAGCAATCGCACGATGATTTGGGAGCTGATGCTGCTGGCAGCGACAGTTCTCTGCCTAGCCTTACACTACCAGTATGAGCGCACGCGTAATCAGGCCTTCTACAAGCGCATACCACCCGTCTCCAATATACCATTCGTGGGTTGCATGCTCGTGTTGGCGCGCTTTCAGCCAGATAGTGAGTAAAAAATCAAATTTTAAACACACGCTCAGATGCAGACACACGACACGCAACGCGCCAAAGAAATTTTCACCGTACCGCTGCGCGCGGTAATGCTAATTGGTACACTTTGAATTCGGAATTATTTGACCTTGGCTGACGTCACTATAGCATGTATTCTAAGTTGCATTGCTAAGTTGACGTCATGCGAAAATTAAAAAATAAAATGGCGTGCAATTAGCTTAGTGTTATAAGTGCCCACACATGGTTAATACCGCTTTAATTGTATATCTAATTTCTTTGGAAATTCATGCAACACAAAAACAAAAAAGATTTACATTTGAAGTTTCAAGAGTTCGTCTCGCGCTTCGGCAAAAGTTTCTGCGCGCTACTGCTACGCGATCTAATGGTTGTAACCGCCGATCCGCGTTATGTCGAAGAGCTACTTAGCAGTCAAAAGCATATACAAAAGAATCAACTTTATTGGCTACTGCGCGACTGGTTAGGCGAAGGTTTGCTGCTTAGTTACGATCGCAAATGGCAGGTGATGCGTAAAATTATCACGCCCACCTTCCACTTCAATATACTCGAGCAGTTTGTAGACGTTTTCGAGCGACAAAGTCGTGTCTTGGTGCAGAAATTGTCAACGCTCGCGGATGGCGCAACCACTGTGGACATATATCCGCATGTGGGACTTATGACGTTGGATGTGATAGCGGGTAAGCTTATACAGCATTGGACATATTAAAATTATATGTTTTTGTTTAATTTCAGAAACCGCAATGGGCGTATGTGTGCATGCGCAGCAGGACTCTAAATCGGATTTTGTGCAAGCCGTGAATGAGTGAGCATAATTACTACTTATTTAAAAATAGTACAGGGTTTGCCGGAAAGCAATAGCAAATGCTGCGAAGTCTTGTCGGAACGGATTGACCCTTCGTTTGAGTCTCTTGAGGACTTCCACGTAAAACATGGCGTTGACGGTTTTTCCAGGTCGAACAAATTCAAGGGGAACGATGCCTTTGATGTCAAAAAAGACAATGAACACGGATTTGGATTTGTTCATTCTTCTCCCGACTCTCCAAAAAGGCATAGTGCTACCGAAACACACCACACACGCACGAAAATGTTTGTCCTGTCTCTCTAGGTGCTCGGAGGCAACTGACCAGCCGTTCGTTCATAAGCCGGTTCATAAGTCGGTGCAGTCGTGGCGGAAAGAAAATCAGTCCTATTACTTTCCGGACAAACCCTGTATATGTAGAAAGTTTAGAAAAATGTAAAATGTATTGATTTTTTATTTTTTAACCACGCAGCGTCACAAATATTGTTGCCACACGCTTTATACGTCCGATCTTAGTCTTTCCGCGCTTATTTAAGCTGCTGCGGCCGCAACAGTATGAAAAGCAAATGGAGGGCATTAGAATCATGCATCGCTTTACCGAGCAAATTATTGAAGAACGCCGTACAGCGTTGCAAAACAAATACAATACAAGCACGGAAAGTGCAGTGAACCCCGAAATGTTGGGTGAGTGCAATACAGACAAAATTTTAGAGCAAGTAATACGGAATTTTGACTAATAATTAGACTGATACCTTAGATTAACTTATAGTCAAAAATAAGCGAACACATTTAATTTAACTTCTTGCTAAAATCCATAGATATCGGCTTAAAACCACGCATGGCATTACTGGATGTACTCCTCCAATCTACCACTACCGATGGGCAACCGCTAACCGATGCGCAAATACGCGATGAGGTTAATACATTCATGTTTGAGGGACACGACACCACCACATCAGCAATCTCCTTCTGTCTCTATTTACTGTCACGCCACCCGGATTGTCAACGTGTACTCTTTGAAGAGATACACAACCACTTCGGCACTGATACGAGCCGACCGATCAAGTATTCGGATGTGCAGCATCTAACATATTTGAATTGTGTAATTAAGGAAACATTGCGCCTTTACCCACCCATACCGGTAATTGGACGTTGGTTAAAGGAGGAGCTGGTCTTGCGTGAGTATTTCAAGCAGTGTTATAAATAGTGGTTTGAGCGTGTTTAACGCCAACATTTTCCAGCTGACGTAACGCTGCCACCGCGCACCAATGTGCTTATATTACTCTGGCAGATCTTACGTGACCCCGATGTTTACACGGAGCCGGAACGTTTTTGGCCTGAACGTCATTTGGAAAATAATGAACGCGCCAATGTCTTCAGTAATATACCCTTCAGCGCGGGCCCACGCAATTGCATCGGGCAGAGGTTTGCCATACTTGAGATGCGTACTGCCATCGTGCAAGTGCTGCGCCACTACGAACTCATGGCTTTCGGTGTACCGATACAGCCATCGATCAAAATTGTGTTACGTTCAAAAAGTGGGGTTAACGTCGGACTAAAAAGACGTGCTTACGTTTAAGGGAAGTTACTGCATAAGTTTTAAACATTGTGATGTGTGAAAATGTAGCAATAAAATTGTGATATTTAGAGTACTGTCGATACGGTTTAATACTTTATAAGGACCATGTACATAAAACTTAGCATTTCATGGGTCTTGAATTGCTTTATAGTCTGAAATTATATGAAATGTGATGGCCTTTAGAAAACAGGAAGGAGGAACACTCCATGAAACGTACGAACCACTGCAGTATTTTTCAGTTAGAAGTGACTTATACTAAGACAGCAGTAGGCGAATTTGCTTCGAATTGCAGCCTCTTTCAGGAAAATGAATATTTATGGGCATTTCTGTCTCACATTTACCGAGTTTCAGACAGAATTTAATCGCGCACCTCTTCTCTAACGAACGCTGCATTTTCGGCTTGCCACACTCACAGAAACAGCTCAGAGACAACTGAGCAGCTTCGTTCGTTAGCTAGGAACGCCCTCTACCGAATCCAGTCGGGCGCGCACGCTCCGAAGTATAGACGCGGCTGAAGAAAGTCAGTCCCATTACTTTCCTGACAAACCCTGTATATTACATTTCAATAACTTTTTGCATTATTCTGCAGCTGGTGGTATTTAGTCTAAGTATAGCAAAACGGTAAACATCGAATCAAGGTATGAAAGGTTATAACTACTTAAACATAACTGAGGAATGCACTGCGACCTTAGGTCTATTGTGCCCCATAACTACTTAAACACATAACAAACTATTTCACTTTACAAAGAGTTACAATACGGAAATTATTTTAAATCGCAAATTAGCAATTAGCTCAACCAATTTTTAATAGAAACGTAGTGAAATGCAATTTATTACTCACTCAACGCCCTTTGTGCAATGTTGTGGTTAACACTATTATTCCTGGTAGCGCTGTGTTTGTTTGCTGATTATTGTCGGGTCCCTTAAATTTGTTGAGTTGTTGTGCTGTGATTGTTTTGCTATTTACTTTAGTTGAGTTTTGTTTTTAGAACTGCTTGTGTCGAAATCGTTTTGGACACGTCTCACGCTTCTGGGTGTTGCGCATGCATCCGATATTTATAAGCGACCTGCGATATTTTCAAGCGATATTGAGCCACTCCACTGAAATATGCAAGAATCGTATGTACAGTTTACTCACTGATTGGTTCCGAATTCCTTGTTGTTGTTGTTGTTGTTGTAACGGCAGAAATTTTGGCGAGTAGACAGTCCTTGGCCGGATAAAAATCCGGGCCCGTTCCGGTTTTCGTAGACCCGACTGTCGTGGGATTACTCGTTAGTTATGGTGCCAAGTGGTTGAGTAGACGGCGCGTTATTACGCCAACATTTCATTTTAGAATACTTGAAGATTTCGTTAGTATATTCGATCAGCAAGCACAAATTTTAACACGCAACTTGGCAAATTTTGCAGGTGGCGAACAAGTATTGGATATATAGGACGGGGTGGTATTAGCGACCTTAGATGTCATCTGTGTAAGTGCGATGAGTGTGTGTATCAACGCGCAAACGCGCGTGAATTGTGGATATATGATGCGTTTTATTAAAATTATTAGTTCTTTACTATTTAATAACGCATCTTTTTAGCATGCAACGCATCACAGTCAAACGTTATGTTACAATAGCTTACCGGTTTAAATGGCTTTTTCGCCACGATTGGCTCAGTAACGTTTTGCTATGACGGCAACTTTGCATAGATTCACGGAGCGTATTATTAAAGCACGACATGAAGAAATATTAAAACATCAACGGAAGTCGATACAAACCAGCAGGAGCAAATTGAAATTATTTTGCGCCAAATTACAGTTACAACGGAAATGACATTTGTAGCAGTGCTGCCACATTATGCATATGATGCGTTGCATTTAGACAATATAAAATTTCAAAATATTAGCGAGAAGAAAGATTTTCAAATGGTAAAAAAAAAAACAAAGGAAAAACTAAAATCAAATAATTATAGCGGATATTTGAAAACATCTAAACGATTTAAATCAGACAAAGTTTATGATTTTTTTACATACATTAATTAGTGGCAAACTGTGCATAACGCGAAGTTTTCCATTTTTCAACTTGGCAGCACTTGCAATACCATCGGATACGAAATGAACGGGACCCTTATAATATATGTACATATGTACGTATACACTCGTAAATAGCTCAGTCGTTTTAGACATGTCCGAATTTTATTTGTTAGCAATTTTTTTTATTTGTTAAAGGTATTATTGCTTCGGTGCCTTCGTCGACAGGTTTTACTAGATGTCTTACTCTCTGCCACTATCGATGGGAAACCACTAACCGACACAGATATACGAGAAGAAGTGGACACCTTCATGTTTGAAGGTCATGATACAATTAAAAGTTCGCTATTATTTACGCTCTATTGTATTTCCCGCAATGCAGATGTGCAATCTAAACCCTATGCTGAAATTGTTGTGACGCTAGGCACAAATATGCAGCAGGCACTTCCTCAACGTCCACTAATGCAATTGAAATATACAGAGCAAGTGATCAAGGATACATTGCGCGTGTATCCTTCTGCGCCATATATAGGACGAATATATAAGATTTTTATATTGGTAAATGCTTTTGGTAACTTGTGTAATCACTACATATTTGTATTTCAGATGTCAATTACATACCTAAAGGCTCTAGCCTGGTATTGGCAATTTATGAAATGCAAAATGATGCCGAATACTTTCCGCAGCCACACCGGTTTTTACCAGAACGTGAGATTTTCACTTTGCTTTTGTGTCATTTAGTGCAGGGTCGCGCAATTGTGTTGGACAACGTTTTGCTATGCTTGAAAGCGTTTTTTGTTCATATTATACAATTTTTTGAGCTGCTACCATTAGGTGATGATGTGGTACCGACTGTGAGAGTTGTATTAATATCAAAAACGGGTTGGCAATTGAGTTTTCGTAGCGATATTTAGTACTTTAAAAACAAAGTTAATAAAGTCAATATTTTTATATGTACATATGTATATCGACGCATATTTCCAAACAAAATTTTCGACAATTTTAGCTCGAGTTTGTTTTCAACAAACTTTAATCCCAGTGATAAACTGGTCCAGGTGTTGGTAACTTTTCAATTTTATCGCTTCCCTTGTTAGCCAGCAATTGCTGCTTTACAACATCAATAGGTGGTTGCACTTCTCGCCGGGGATCTCGTTTGCAGTAAAGATTGGCTGCTATTAAATGTGCTGGACCACCAGGCACGTCTGGGGGTGGTTGGGTGCGATCAGCTAAACCTTCCTCGAAACGTAGTGCCAAAGTGTGCTCACGCTGAAAGCGAAAATTATGGGTTGTATTATATAATTTTTGCAGATGTAAATAAGTGCATGGGAAGGAAAATTTTAACTTACTCCCAGCAGGAAAGCTCGCACACGCTGAAGAAATGTCGCAACATCACGTCTTGCACCCATTTTCAACAATTTACACTATTGTTTGTATGGCTTTAATTTGGTAGAAGCACAGATAAAAGCGTTGAAATAAATGTTATTTATTATATGCAAGTGACAAGTGAATAGTTGTGTTTGACAGTTGCAATCAGCTGTTTCAATTATATCTACAGACTGTAATTTATATTTTAGATATACAAATTCTTATACAAATACGTTGATTTTTTTATAGAAAATCACACCCTGTACTATGCTAATTCAGTGATTTTCGTTGGACACGTTCTCTGCCACATCGTATTTTGTTTACTTTTTTTGCTGCTTAATTGAAATTGCGTATAATGGAAAGGTAGAAGCACTTTTTCACAACACACGTGCGATACAATAATAAGTTGTAATAAACTATAAACAAGTGTTAGCTAATAATTTTTAAACGACAAAACCAATTAAACGGTAAAAGGATGGGTGGCAATAAATTTGATAGTCAAAATGGTAAAGGGGTTAAAAGAAAACGCAAATTTCAAGGTCCGGTTGATCAGGATGATCCTGAATTTGATTTGAAGAAAAAGCATTTGGAGACAACACATATACGGGCATTGGAAAAACGTTTGATAATTATATTAGAAGGTGCACAATTGGAGACAGTAAAGGTATGAAATCGTTATATTTTACCAAAAAAAGGAATTCACAAATACTTTTGATCTTAGGTCGGCAGGGTGTTCGAGCTACTTAATTGTGATGATCATCAGAATATTTTACGCAAAAACAACCGTGATCCCGGTAAATGCCGACCCGATATAACACATCAATGCTTGTTAATGCTTTTCGATTCGCCCTTAAATCGTGCTGGTTTGTTGCAAGTGTATGTACGCACTGAGAAAAATGTGCTAATAGAAATTAATCCTCAAACACGTATACCACGTACTTTTAAACGTTTTGCGGGCCTGATGGTACAACTTTTGCATAAATTTTCAGTTCGCGCTAGTGACACCTCCGCAATGTTGATGAAGGTTATAAAGAATCCAATAACGGACCATTTGCCTGTAGGTTGCAAAAAGTACGCAATGTCTTTCTCGGGGAAACTGGTGGCCAATTGTAGAGATATGGTGCCTAGAGTTCAAGAGAATGGCGAAAACACAGAAGAACTTGCTGAAGAACCCATCGCATTGATTGTGGGTGCATTCGCACATGGTGTGCTCAATCCCGACTACTCGGAGGGCTTATTTTCGATTAGTAATTATCCATTATCAGCAGCAATTGCTTGTAGCAAGTTGTGCAGTGCCTTTGAAGAAGTTTGGGGTGTTGTTTAATGTTGCATAACTTTGTATTTTTATAAGTAACTTTACTTAGCAATTAAGTAAAATAAAAAACTTAAAAAACAGCATTTTTATAGCTTTATTCATTCATTAGTATTGGTCATTTCAATATGCATACAATCTAACAAGCAGTTGTAACGTGGTACCATGTCGTGGCTTTTCATCGGTTTCTACTGTTACGTATTTCATATGGACTCTTACTACATCGCCGAGTTTTGCAATTGATAACCCTTTTTAATTTAACTTCATTGAATTTATTGCATTAGTAAAATGTAATAAGATTGTAATATATTAATTAGTGGATGGGTTGAGTTTTTCCGGCAATATAAAACGAATTCTACTCGTCACATAAATGAGCAGCTACTGCATTCAAATCAAATAAAAAATAATTAATAAAAAAGTTAAAACCAGTTATGGATTGCCGCGTTCCTAGTTAGATGATCAAGCAGTCAAAAGTTTCCTAAGCCTTGCTACCTGATGACTTCTTATTATCCAGAGCTTTCTTTTCAGCTTCACGTTTAGCTGCTGCTTCAGCACGTTGATGACGGACCAACGCCAAACGTGCGAGATCCGCTTTAGCTTCTGTCGTTTTGCCGGCAGCGTGTAATTTTTCATAGCGCGCACGCTCCTTTTCCCTTTCGATTTCTTCACGTTCACGTCGTGTCAACTCGGGCTTAGAAGGCGCCGTTTCTTCTAATTTCAAATTGGCCATTTTTTGTACTGCTTTCTTTGTAACACGATTTGGATTCTCAATTTCAATGAGTGAAGCGACACCTTTGCGTGCATCACGATCCACTTCTTCTTCGGACGATTCCTCATCGGAATCCTCTTCACTGCTACTGCCACCACCACCACTTGTCTTCTTGGCTCGTGACTTTGGTTTAGCGCGTGCAGCTCTACTAGTACCTGCTGCGGCGTTATCACTCTCATCCCCCGACTCAGTCTCCTCTTCGCTGGACTCATCTCGGGCATTGGCCAACTCTTCGGGTGATGTGAAGTGTCGGCTTCTACCTTTGTGATTTACGTATTTTCCGCGTGGCATTTTACAGTTATGGCTTGTCTATCGGTGGCGCTTTATTTGTGTAAAAGTTTGCTGATAACTACAAATATTATTTTATTGCAAAATTATCTAGTGCGCTTGCAAATAAAACTCTTTAAAAATTAAAAGGAGTGTACACAATGTTGCTGAGATTTTTCACGTATCCACTTGCGATTATGATAAATTCCTAGCAGCAAATTGCTGTACAGATTCTAGTTGCTTTCTTGACAGTTCATCATGATAGCCTTCCAGACAAATAAGAATTGAGAAATCAGAAAAAGGTTGCCGCGGTGCGAAGAAACCACAAAACTCTATTTACAGTTCTAAATATTAAATTCCTTTGAAATGTATGCCAAGATGCTGATACAACTTACAGTAAGTCTTTAAAACTTTTCATAAAGTATTTTTTGAAAATTAATTATGAATGAATGAAATAAGGGGCTAATATTAATCTTTTGAATAAAGTCCACTTGGGACTATAATGAAAAAAGATACTAATAATCTAATGTCATTAAATAAATTCTGTTTGACAGTTTACCTATCACCCAAATGTAAATAAATAATATTTAATTGCAGTACTTAAGTGCTAATCTTACTAAAAACAAACTCTAAATTACCCCAACGTTAAACTATTACTTACAGTCACCCTGCAATTGGGATTCTTTTTGCTCGATGTGATGAAATACATAAATTCGTTGTCATGAAGTGCATTGCGTGTTTATCGCAAATTCGAACGTTATGATATTTTTGCAACAAGCTTGTGAAAGTTATTAGGATTTGATAAAAAAAATATATAAATATATATATATATATATATATGTGTATTGAAAAGTGCATTTAATAAATAATGGCAAATTTCCTTAGCTGTATTGTCTACACCACGAAATTGATTTCATTTCCAAATCTTGTGGTGTGACAGCCATTTTGTTTCGTTTTCGTTTTTAGTACACACACGTAGGTTAATGTCAGCAATAATAGTTATTTATCTCTTTCCCACTTGTGTGTCCAGCATTGTCATGATAATTAGACAAGTGAAATCGTTATATGCGCGTTTTAGTTCGAAAATTGTATATTTGACGGCTTGCAAACGCGCGTCTCGATCATAACGCGTACGTGCAGAAAATTGCAAAAATATATGGTAAAAATTGTTTAAATAAAAGGTAATTTGTGAAAAAAGTGCAATTAAATATATGCTTAAGCATTGGCTTCTGAAATTCTGCGAGTGCGGGTAGATTTAGTGACAAAAAATTGTGTTTGAAAAAATGCGACTTCGCTGAACAATCAACAGAAGCACCAATTCTTGCCGTAGTGGGAAGAAGCAGAAACTACGCGAAGACGAAAGAGTACCGAAAAGAAGCAGAAAAGATTGAAGAAAATTTCACTCGGTTTACGTTGTTGTTGTCATTGGCGGTAGTGCGGCGCCGACAGCTACCACTGCCACTGGCACCGTGATGAGCCCTATTTGTTGGCTACTATGTATCGCTGTGTATATGTTTTGTGTTAATACCTCGTGGATCTTTATATATATTTTTTTTTTATTATTATTGTTATTACCGTTGTTGTTTCTCGATTGTGTAAAAGTGGGTGCGTTCGGCGGGCTGCAGGAATGACCGTTGTAGTGGCAATGGCAAACGTAGCAACTTTCAAAATGTGTTAAAGCAATAAGAACGCAGTCCATTTTATATAGTGACCGAAGTGTTGATCTTGTATAATATATCTCTGCGTGTATACACAATTTATTTGTTTTCATTCATATCCTTGTTTTATTATTTAGCAAAGTGCACAGCAACGTTAATTTGCCAACATTAGGTGTGTTGAAGAAAAGTTACAATTTGTGCATAGTTAAAGTTCATTAAAATATATCCGAGTGTAAAGATAGATACTGACTCAACAAATATTATCGGATTAACCGATACATTATAATAATAACAAAAAAACCTTGATACATAGAAGTATTGTATGTACGAAAATAATTACGTTTGGTACACAATAATTCAGGATCTAAAATTGCGAAAGCAGGTAATGTATTGCAAAGATGCTTTTATTTCTATTGCTACCGATTAGTTTTTACTTTTTTTGCTACAGTTTTAGCGGCAACTTACACTTTCGCGCGCCAATTCTTATAGAAAGAACTTCATGAAGTGTATACACATTAGCTTTTAGATTTTGAGTAGTTAACCAATTTTGCTAAAAAAAAATGCTCTAAAGTTTCATATGGAAAAACTCTGACCTTATTAAACCAACTGAGCATTTAAACTCCTTTTAGATTTGAAACTTTGTTTGGCGTGCTGGAATGCATAAATGTTATATTGTATGAATTTCTTTGATTGATTTCAAAGGCGATCCGGCTAGTGCGCTCGTTATTTCGACTCCAGACAATAGTTCCAAAAGCGTCTCATGTTTTCGATTTCGAATTTCTCGCCTTGTTAAGTAACTATTTATCTCTTTCTGTATACATGCGTTTGTTATTCACATTATGCTAATATGTGCTAATTCCTGTAGTGTGAGCGTGATAGCTATTGTAATGGGTTTATGGCATGCTTATAGGCTAGTTCATTTACTCGTATGTCGTTTAAACACCTTTCGTAAGTTTTGTTGTAACTTTTTCACTTTTCATCCATCACGTCCGTCGTTCATTTTGCTTCTGTGTAAATTGTGTGTGTGGAAAGACACGAAGCGAAGTAGGTTTTTTGCAAATAAGTTTTTGTGTTAATTTAGTAAAATTACATAGAAATTTGTTTGAATTAACAGTACTGGAAATGACGCTGCACAATTTGTTAGAAAAAACTTGTTGAAAATAATGTTTTTTATTAGGTAATTTTGCACATTAAGTTGCATGGGAAGCGAGTGTTATATTTTTGGGCATGAATTGAATGAAAAATTTCACTTCCTCTCGTTGGTGTGCGACGATGAGTTCGAACTTGAACGAGGTGTGTTGGTGGTAGTGGAGTGTTACCTTGATTTTTGTGAGTGGCAGTGGTGTCTCTGTGGTCGTGAAACGAAACGAGTTTAATTTCGTTCATATAAAACAAACGATAGGCTAAGCAAACAGTATGTTGAGTTTAGCGAGTACGGTTAAAAGTGGACGAAGAAAACGTATGAGAACATACGAGATGAACCACCATACCGAATGAAATAAGTAGTGTCATTGGGAAGCTAATGCAACCACAACAACAAGGTGACGGCAATTCCGAACTTGGCCGAAGCGTTGTCTACTGTACAAAAATGAATCGTGCGGCCATTTCGGTGCCACTGCTGCTGCGGTTTGTCATCGCCTGGTGGTAGCGGTGTTGCCGAATGGTTTGTCCCACTAAACTTTATCCCTTTTGAATATGTGCTGGTGTAAATTAATTTTTAAATTTATTTGTTTATTTTTGTTTTTGTAAAGAACACAATAATGACAAAAGTTTTATTGTAAAAGTCTGTACTATTCATAGTAATCCACCAGTTTTCGAAAGCTATTTACGGTGTCAATTAATGTTTAAGCAAATTGTCATAAATTTTTTCTGATTACATTTGATCTGGCAACATCGTAATTTGCTAATATTCGAATGAACGGCTGGTCTGTCACACAAAATTCTCTGCTCAAATATTCGTGCTTGTATACATTTGTTGGTATGTATGCATATTTACATGTATGGTACGTGCGCTCGTGCGCGCTGTCTATCGGTTTTTCTATATTGTTTTATGGCGTAAAATGTGTCATATGCAAAATCAAGTGCTAAAAGAAGATGATCTGTGTGTTTTTGTTTTGTAATGACAAATGTTGCCATCCTGCTCTGCGGTAGCGGTAATGTTAGTACCCATGATATGCAGCGGCAAAGTATCTGGCGGATGCATTTTTATAAAAAAAAAATTCAAATTCGAAGATACACATTTGATTCAATAAAAAATGCATTTGAGTTTGTATATAATTATTGTTTCTTGCTATTTGTACTTGAATTTCTTTTGAAACATTGGTATCAGGCTTCAGTTTGCCAAAAGTTGTATTTTTGTTTATTAAATTATTGTAGGGCTTTCTGCCAGTATCAAATCAAGATATGTCAAAAGTTTGCGCCAAAATATATTATTTGTTGGTTAATAATATAAGGTCGCGGGCTATATTTACCGAACTTCGTTTCATTCCTTTGCTTTACTACATTTTCGTTACATCGTTTATTGTTCGATGCTTTAAGCTATTGCGGTCACTAGCAGACATTTACAACAATCTTATTGTATTAAATATTTGTTAGTACTATATGCGTTTTAACATATTTCAAAGCCGGCTAATCGTGACATTATTGAAAATTGTCAACGTCGCCTTATATTTTGCGCTTCCTATTACTACCACTGTGTTTGCATTATGCATCGCGTTTTGCTTATATTTTTCATTAATTTCTTTGTTTTCATATAATTATTTAGTGTAGTTTCACTTGTTTTGTTACGTATGAGCAGTGTGTAAATTTGGTGTGAGCATTCACATCTATATAATTATGTATGCGCGTATACATATGTGCTCTAGTGTTAATTAATTCGTGTGTTTATGCGCCCTTGGATGTGTGATTGTTGCTGTCTGACTTGCCGTAATGTTTGATTGGTTGGTTGGTTGACGCCTATTGGTTATTTTCGTTGCATTTCACATAAATAATTATTAAAAAAACGCAAAATTAAATTGTGTTTGCGTTAAAAGGTAGCAATAGGAAAAGTTGTGGTTTGCTTGTTGTTGCTAAGTGTTTTGTTTGCATGGCTGCTGTCGCCTGTCTAGCGCGTTTGCGAGTATAAAATGGAATTCGATAAATATTGTCTGCCTTTTGCAATTACTATATATGTACATTATTTGCTTTGATGAGGTGATGGTTTAAAATTGTATATAAAGACACCAATCCTCAGTGGAGGATATATGCTAACAAAATACAAACTTGAAGTTATTTTCGTAAAATACCTCTAATTCTCTTTAAACAATTATTTCACTACTGTTTTTAGTTGCAACAGCAAAAATTGTAAATAAATATTTCTTATTTCTTTTATTACAGTTTTAATGCTCCACAATTGAATTGATTTATGTATGTATGAATCTAACTAGATAAATACAATTAGCAATAAAGTACAATTCCAATTTCTTAAATACGTGAAAATACTTCGTTTGAGCATAAAAACGGACACGGCGGAAAAATGTGCGGTTTCACAAGCTGATCCCGAATTCTACTTCTGTTGCTTTAAATGTGTGGTAAGTCTTGTATACAATAAAAATTTATGTTTATGTGATAAATTTATGAGGATATTTATTTCTAAACTTTACTTTCGTTTCTCTTTCCCAAATTAGTTATTCAACTTGCTATAAGATGCGGCGTTCAATAACAACAGCAGCAACAAAAATCACATCAACATTAGTAGCAAAATCAATTCGTAGTATATTATTTCAAAACACGGAAGGATCGAGAACTACCTTTAAACTAATCTATTATCACAATACTAGACTGCAAAAGAGGATTTGAGTACGTTCACTATACGAAACGCCAGAAAACAAACACAATAAGCAAAATTTATTTAGGCAGTCGGTAGACATAAAGGGAAGAACTGCGTAGGCTGTATAGACTGCCCAAAATCAGCCGCAATCATTAACAAGAAGTCATTGCCTGTGTACAACGTAGTAGTCTGTAGCATCTTCCCTATATAGAAAAATAAAGTCTCACTTCGGTACCACATTAGACAACTCGTTTTATATAGTGTTCATACAAAAAACACAAAATTCGTACACACTCAGCAATATCACGCAAAAAAAAGCTGTTCCTGTTATTTATTTACGAATTGCGTCGAAGACATCAATAAACCACCTAACGCCCACACGCGAGTATTAACAAAGCAAAAAAATTTCACGTTGTGCTAGTGTGCGTGTGGGTGTGTGCTGTACAAAAGCTTAAACATGCCGCAGGATCCGCCGCCACGCGATGAGCCGTACGTGGAGCCGGTTAACGGCATCGTGCAACCCCCAACCGTACCACCACCCGATCGACCCGGTCGCAACACAAATCAACTGCAGTATCTCATTAAAACCGTGATGAAAGCAATTTGGAAACATCATTTCTCTTGGCCATTCCAGCAACCGGTCGATGCAAAAAAGCTTAACCTGCCCGATTACCATAAAATTATCACACATCCAATGGATATGGGTACGATAAAGAAACGTTTGGAAAACAACTACTATTGGTCGGCCAAAGAAGCCATACAGGACTTCAATACAATGTTCACCAATTGTTATGTCTACAATAAACCTGGTGAAGATGTTGTTGTTATGGGCCAAACATTAGAAAAGGTCTTCCTGCAGAAAATCGAAGCCATGCCCAAGGAAGAAATCGAATTGGAACCTTTGACACCGAGAGGTGGCAAGAAGAAACCACGTCCAGCCGGTAAACCAGCCACACCTAGCTCTGCGTTGCTACATACACCTGCCACCGGTTCAGCAGCGACTAAAGCCGCTGCCACCGCCGCTACAGGTGGTACACCGCGAGCACCCGCACGTCCACACTCATCGCTGAGCAGCACAGTGTCGTCGACTGGCGGTGGCGCAACGGCAACAACTACACCCGCCATTCCACCCATTGGGACAATGCCACCGCAAACAGTTCCCGGCAGCACAAATACAACAACTACCGCTATTGTTGGTGGTGCGGGTACAGCATTAATAACGGCCGGCGCAACAGTACTATCTACCGGTGGTATATTACCAGCCGGTAGTGTAGCTGCCGGTTCCTTGGTGGGTGCTAATGCCGCGTTAGCGGCGTCTGTAAATGCGGCTGGTGCGGTAAATTCATCGTTACTCGATGCCAGCGGCGGCAGTGTGAATACGGCGGGTGGCGGTATTGGTGGCGCACCGAACTCAACAGCTGCCGTTGGTGCTGCCGTACTATCCGCGTATCACAGCAGTGTTAATAGTACAGCCGATGCAGTAATACCGCCACAACAGCCGGCGAAAATGAAGAAGGGTGTTAAACGAAAGGCCGATACAACGACGCCGACTGCGAATGCATTTGAAATGCCACCTTATGCGCAAATCGATTCCAAGAGCGCCAAAATCGCAACTAGACGCGAATCCAGTCGACAGGTAATGAATAAAAAGGTAGGCGAGCGCTGGCTAGCTGAGAGTGAAATGAGAGTTGTAGATGGTCCTTTATATTTTTATTGCTTTTAATTGGTGCGAATTGTAACTTTTAGAGCCGTATTTTATTGCTTTTTCGTAAAATTATTGCATTTGAACTATAAAAACCGCAAGTAGCGTGCAGGGTATAAAATATTTGTTTGAAACTAATTTCTTTTAAATTTTCATTAAATTTTGTACTTTTTTTCTTAAATATATTTTAGTTCGTATTTTAAATTGTTATGTAGATTTTAAAATTTCCAACTCCTCCAAATCTCGACTCTAACCTAACCTTTTCCTGCAATTCTTCACCCCACCTTCTATTTACTCTTTTTTTCCTATCGGTAAGGCCATCAATCGCGTACGCTCATTGGTTATGCGAAGAAAAAATACTCATCATGCTATTGCGCTGCGCCTCCTTTTATTTACATTTTAGTTTTTATATGCCTTACGATGTTCAACAAGGAAATGTAAAATATACTATGCAACAAATCAGTTTACACATTTCTTCTTTTTCTCTTTTTCCTTACCTCCCTATTGGTACAGGATCTCACATTCCAAGGATCCGCTTATCCCTTGTCGCCGATGGCCGTCGCTGGCATGGCGCCTGGCGGCATGGGCGTTGCCGGCGGTGTTGGTGGCGTTCCTGGCGTAGTCAAGAATAAAGAAAAGCTGTCGGACGCACTTAAATCATGCAATGAAATCCTCAAAGAGCTGTTTTCGAAAAAACACTCTGGCTACGCTTGGCCCTTCTACAAACCCGTCGACGCCGAGTTGCTCGGTTTGCATGATTATCACGACATTATCAAAAAGCCGATGGATTTGGGCACAGTGAAGCAGAAAATGGACAATCGCGAATATAAAAGCGCACCCGAGTTCGCCGCCGATGTGCGATTAATATTCACCAATTGCTATAAGTATAACCCGCCAGATCATGATGTCGTTGCCATGGGTCGCAAGCTGCAAGACGTTTTCGAAATGCGCTACGCTAATATACCCGACGAGTCGGTAGCCAACGCTGTTGCGGCGGTTGTAGCTGCTGCCCACCATGCATTCTCCGCAACAACGAAACGTGGTGGTGTTGGAGGCGGCGTTGGTGGTGTTGGTGACGGCAGTGATTCATCGTCGGACGAATCCTCAGATACGGAAAACGAATCGAATTCGGATGAGGAGCGCAATGCGAAACTGAAATTGCTGGAGGCCAAACTACTCGATCTGCAAGAGGAGATGCGCAAATTGATGGAGGAAGCCTCAAATAAGAAGAAAGCGAAGAAAAAGTTGAAAGAAAAGAAGAAGGGTGGCACTGGTGTGGGCGTTGGTGCAACGATGGCTGGTGTTGGTGGCGCGCATGCACAAACCGGTGGCGTCGGTGTTGTAGGCGCCGGTGTGGGTGTCAATGCGGCGCTGGTGGCGGGCGCGAATTTGCATGGTGGCGATTTAGCTGCCGCCATGGCGATGGGTCAGTTAGGTGCTGGACCGGTAAGCGTCAAGGGTGCACCGTTAGCTGCAGGCTTAGCAGGCACAGCAGCAGTCGGTGTAACGCCCGGTGGCAAGGGCAATAAAGTGAAGGGTCAGCGCGGTCCCAAAGCGGGTGCGGCTAGTGGCGGCACACCTGGCGCTGGCGGCGTTGCGGGCGCCAATAAGCGTGCGAAGGGCGGCGCAGCGGCAGCAGGCGCAGGTGGTGGCGCTGGTGCGACAGCTGGTGCTGGCGGTGCAGCTGCGCGCGGCACCAACAAAAAGAAGCCCAGTCAGGTGATGAATTTCGATTCAGAGGAAGAGGACACGGCCAAGCCGATGTCGTACGATGAAAAACGACAGTTATCGTTGGATATTAATAAACTGCCGGGTAAATGAGGAAATGCATATTTCTCGTTTTGTGCAGTTTTGACTGATTTTTTCTTTTCTGTATCCTTGTGATTTTAGGTGACAAGCTTGGTCGTGTTGTGCATATAATTCAAAATCGCGAGCCTTCATTGCGCGACTCCAATCCGGATGAGATCGAAATCGATTTCGAAACATTGAAGCCGTCAACGCTGCGCGAACTGGAAAGTTATGTGGCAACCTGCCTACGCAAAAAAACTCGTAAGCCCTACTGTAAGTTTATCCCAATGACACGCACTACTAGAGAAATTCAAAACCAACAAAAAATAATGCTATATAATTGGAAAAAGCGAAAAGAGAGAGAGAGAGAGACAAAACAAATTTATTTTATAAATAATGTGCTAATAAGAATAAACTAAGCAAATTTTTGTCAAGAGCAACAAATCCTAAGCAATCTTCAATAGCTGAAACAATTGTTAAATGATTTTTAATTAGCTATTGCTTTAAGCCATATGAAATAAAAAGCCAAAAAATGTATTTAATGATTCATAACTATTATCCGTTATACATAGCTATTGCCTTTTCGCTGTTTTAACCGTTCCAAATTTATTTTTATCGTTTTATAAGTTTGTATTGTAACAGAGAAATCATAGCGCTCACATATACACACACATGACCACATACGCATATGCACACTAATTCACAAATGCGCTCACACACACACATATAAATACAATTGCTCGTTGCACAATAGGCTTGTTTGCGTCCTTACTTTCAGGGCAAATCACATTGAAATTACATTCGCTCAACTTTCACCGGTTCGAATGTGTTCAATATTAAATTTTGTTATTTTTGTTGCTAGCTTTTTCCGCGTTTATAATTTTATTTCGACAGCTTTGTTTTGCACACATTCACTTTTGCTGCTCGCCATAAGCTCCAAACATTACATTTATATTATTTTTTTCTTAAAAAATTTGTTTTTGTGTGATCTATGTTTTATGTGTTTTAACAAATATGTATGTATGAGTAAAGTAAGTTAAAATTTTTTGTTATGCCATGTTGCAATTGTGTTTTATTTGCTTGGAAATTTTTACCACAGAAAACAGATTTTTTTTAAATATACTATATATGTGTTATTAAATAT